AGACATCAGTTTCTTCCTTAGAGGATCTTTTGTGCCACAAGTACTCCCAACTGCTTCCTTCTATTACTAAATTGTCAGAGCACCATGGCACAGAGCGCCCTGCTTTTGAAGAGGAAGAAAAGAGGTGATTTGATTGAACAGCGATGCAGGTGCACCGTGCGCCTCTGACCATGAAATTACCAAAAATCAGTATCTGCACCGTGTGCTCCATTGATTCATGAAAACGAAGCCCTTGGTCTTAACACTGAAGGAAACCGCCCGTTTTTGTCCGGATTCAGCCGCATCGTGTTAATAGCTTTATAGTGTCGGTGATTCAGTTATGCGGAGTTTGTCGCTGGGCAGGGAGAAGTTGAAGGCTGCGATTCTCATTTGTTGATTGTTACCGGCAGAGGGTGGACACCTGCCAAGAGAGAGGCGATCATCAGTCTGAGTAGCACAGCAAGATGCTACTACTGCCAGAACTTCAATACAGCAACTAAATCTATCCTTCAAGGGCAAATCAAAAAGGGCCTAAGTAAGCCGCCGCATACTGAGGACTGTGTTCTGGGCTATTAAATGTATTAGTTTGTTTTACTGCAGAGAAATCCATTTGCGCTTGATAAGCATTACATTTTTCTCCGTAGCTTTATTGAAATACTGTTTTCAATGTCAGTTAGTGTTGTTGCCGTACAGTGAAAAGGAAATAATTCAGTTTCAGATGTTGTTTTCTGGCTTTTGTCCTGGGTTGCATTAATTTCTTCTGATCCTGAGTTCCTCCTCCCAATTGCGAGGATCAGGCTTGCTGCAAAAACACAAGTTTTCCTTCTCTTGTTAATAATCAAGGTATTTTCTTTCAGCACTTTAAGGTAACACCTCTGCTGAGATCTCCACTTCTCCTCCTTTAAATAGAAGTCTTATTATGCAGAGTGAAGCACAAGACAGGTGTTGAAACACTACGTCTGACAGTTAATAAGACTCAAACTGAAAGCACCCACAATTATCACCGTCTGCACACTGCATATTCAAACCTGCTATACTGTGTGTTTCTTGCCTGCTCTTTCACACTTGTTAGCAGAATACTATGTGCTGGAGAGCTTATTGTGTACAGAGTTTGATGCCGCCAGTATATTTCATCCTGGAAATTCAGCAACAACAGACTTTTTTCAGGGCGTGGCAAGGATACAGCTAGCCAGAGTGACTAAGGGAGAGTCAGAGGGACAGCGCCAGCCCGCATTAATCCATTAAGGTCTGCAACAAGGAGGGGTTTAGGGTGGAGAAGCAGGGCGGGAGGAGTTCATGACATGGCTCTCTGCTTTCAGAATCAGCAGCAGAGACTGAAACACACTTGTGGGGTCCAGCCCTTGAAGCTCTGGTACCGCGGCAGACTGTGACGCACTACCAGAACCACAAAGTGTATTTTCTGTGGTGGGTACGTTTGCCTAAATCTGTTTACACAGTCACGTGTGGGGACTCGCCGCCCTTATGGGGACAAATTGGTGGTCTCCATGAGGGGAATCATTCATTTTAGGGTGAAGACTTGGTTAGGTTAAGGGTAAGGGTAAGGGTTAGGCATGTGTTGGTTAAGGTTAGAATAAGTCTCCAGGAAATACATGCAAGTCAATGTAATGTCCCCTGAAGTGATGTATACATGGTTGTGTGTGTGTGTGCGCGTGTGTTTGTGTGTGTGGAGGAGAGCCAGAGCCAATCATGGAGATGGGGTTTCTCATTGCTGACAAGTGTGGCTGGCCCTCCTGGGCTAAAGCCACTGACGCTTTATAACTTTCAGAACTTTACAAGAGGAGAGGAAAATTATTTGCCTCCTCAAAACCTATTTAGCATCAGTCATCAAATAAAAACGCCAAATAATGCATCCAATCAAGGCTATGCACTTTTTTTGGACGAGGTTATAAAGGAAGAGTATTTCTTTAGTCATTACACTAAAGTTCTTTGGCATTTTTACAATTATTTAGTGCCGTATTGCATTTTATTCACAGGCCGATTTAACTGTCAGTAGAGAAAGGCCGGATCCACATAGATAACAAGCGACACTGCAATATCTCTAACATTCAGACTGTAGCATCTCAGCATGGATGCCCTTGATAGACTATCTCAACCACTCCCTCCATCTGTCCGGACACAATATTATAATGCACAGTGTGTAGCCTACCTTTAACTAGGACATGGAAGCAACACGCTTCAATCTATCTCTACGAGTCTGTATATCATATCTACACACACACCGTACCACACTTCAGAGAGCAGATTGTGTTTATAGCTCATTTACTGAGTAGGGGCAGTCTCTTTCAATGCACATGCACAAACTGTTCACCCCCCTCCCCTCTGGCAGGAGGCTGCGCTCCATCAGGACCAAAACCTCTCGCCACCTGAACAGTTTCTCCCCCTCCGCTACCGGCCTCTTAAACAAGGCCCGGCCCCCCCACTGACACTTACCTCTGCCACATCATAAACTATATGCATTACATTAATGCACACAATGTTCATACTCCTTTCTGCACATATTCATATTTCACAGTTTATATTCTAAAATTCATTTAATACAATTCTGTTTCCATGTAAATTACTGCTTTATTGATTGCTATTTAACTGTATTCTATTACGGTGTAAAAGATTTTGAGTTTAGATTACTTGTTTTTTATATTTTATGTATGCACCATGACATCAAGTCAAATTCCTCGTATGTGCGAACCTACCTGGCAATAAACCGGTTTCTGATTCTGATTATAAAATCACGGTCCTGCAGAGCAATTTAGTGAAACGACAAGCTGAGCAAATCATCTGTGAGAGACTATTTTCACTTTCAAATCAGACTCGCTTAAAGAAAAGGTTATTTGGATTATATTACAGAGGGAGAAAAACAACCTCAAAACACGGTCTTTCATGAAATAAGGAAATTATCACCCTCCATTTTCTCCCCTCATTTTACTGCCTCTAAACATCAACAGTTAAAAGTTGACTGCACACAAAGACGGAGATGTGTTTGTGGCTCAGTCATGGATCCAAATGTCCATTCTCCACAATAGGGAATGAAAAAAACAATAAAGACATGGTAGGGAGGAGAACATTAGAGGCAGTGAAGTGGAGCAAGCTTTTTTTATGGATCCAACCCAAAGCCTTTATTACATTCAAAAGGTCAGAGCAGGAGGACAAAAGACGGACAGGAAACTGTGTTTTGTTGCTCGTACTATTCAGCCGCTTCTTTCCGCTCTTTGGAGGAGTAGATACGGAGGCTTGTAACAAAGGGAAATGGACAAAGATGCACTTCTATTTTTGATCCATTTTCTTTGTGTTTCATTCTACATTGCTCTTCCTCTGTTGTGTCATATAGTGTGATCGGTACAAATCTCCAGACTGCGAGTGCCAGCATATTCTATTCTCTCTGAAACAATGGCGAGCTTGTGCAGCCTATCTTCCCCTGTGTGTGTGTGTGTACGTGTGTGTGTGCGTGTGTGTGTGGTGTGTGTGTGTGTGTGTGTGTGTGTGTGTGTGTGTGTGTGTGTGTGTGTGTGTGTGTGTGTGTGTGTGTGTGTGTGTGTGTGTGTGTGTGTGTGTGTGTGTGCGCACCTCAGTACTGCTCGGGCTTAATTGAAGGCGTAGTGAGGATTCTCATTAGTATGTCAGGCGCATGGTTTTCTGCTAAGCTAGCTAGCGCTCTACACTAACCAGCCAGGTGGAGGGGTCAGGGGTGAAGTGCCAGAACTATCCTCATCCCCCCTCTACCTTTTCTAACATTATTATTTCAGTGTACTCATTTGGGAGATAATTTGTGTAGCTGCCTGGGTGTGTGGTTTAAATTCACATTTCACATTTGCAATAACTGTAAGTGCAGATGTGGTACGTGCTGTGCGGTATATCATGGTCTATTAACAATACGGCTTTACAGTGGATTGTGTTATTATGGTAAATCATGTGTTGGGAAATTGCTGATGTTTTGATCTCCTGTCTGGCGTCTTACACCATGTGTCATGTCAGTTACATGAGGTTACATGTGTTTATTTACAGTATAAGGTGCACGAATGTGTCACAGCAATTGAGTAGCAGTATGTACATGCGTGTATATCTTGTGTGTGCGTGCCTATGCTAACGTGTGCTTATCTAGTATGGTGTGTGCCAACATGCGTTCCAGTTTGTGCCTTATATATAAGTGTGTGGGTAAATGTCTTGTCTGCCTGAGATAGGGGCCAGTGGGACAAAGAAACCTGTGGCAGTGTTTGCTGCTGGGCATTAAGAATTTGAAATGTGGTAAATCCATCAAATGTGGTGAAGATTATATATTGTGTGCGTAATTAGGAGTAATTAGATAGTAGCATGCAATTAAATTGTGTTTAATTACTCCTCGAAACAATTGAGCTAACGTTTTTTCGCCCGGCTACTATATGTATTCCCCATGTAGACCAGTGTTTCTCATCTTAAAACAAGTTATGCACTTGTGAAAATGGTGTGTCTTTTGGTGAGGGTACATACTGTATGCAAAGGCTCCTAGAGTTAGCACTTAGCACAATTCTAAAATGAGCAAAAGCATTTTGAGACTATGGCTTAAGGACCCTTGAAAAGCAGCGTTGGTGATTTTTGTTGAGGGGAATCTGCATACTCTTAATTTGTCTAACGACAGGGAGTGAGCTACACAACACTGCAGTAACAATGCGTATATAACACATGTTTAAAACACGAACTTATAACAAAAGAAGGGACGTATAGGCGTTTACGCATACTACTAGCCTGCACGAGTTTAAAACGGTAGACTGACTGTAAGCATCATTTGCATATTAACATTGTTATGGGGGGGTAATTATGAGCAGTCACGAACATAAAGTCACCTTAAGCATCTACCTCTCCGCGTGATGCTGAGGGGACCGCAGGAGCCTGCCTCCTTCCCTCGCGAGCGCACCGCCCTGCAGCACCTCAGCCAATAGGAGCCTGCGCGCGAGGTGACTGGATATTCCATAAATGGCTTTTTTTGGGGGAAAGGTATAGGGGTGTTTCTCTGAATCCGTCTCTCGGAGTAGATGCTCGCCGTCTTGTGTTCTCTTAGTTTCTCACTGAGCGAGTGATATTTGTTTCGGTTAGGGGACACGGCCTGCATGTTTTTATCCACACTGTTGCGCTCTGTTTAGTTTTTGGCTCCGCTTCACTCATTCATCCTCTCCGGCACGCTGCTGCTGCTCCATCCCATTCTCCTCGCTGACTTCCCCGGCTCTCACAGTTTTCCCGCCGAGACTACCGATACCGTCAATAGCACCAAGAATGGTCATGGTGAGTAGATATCATAGCTCCATTCTGCGAGCAATATCCTTAACGCGTTCCGCAGCAGGCAGGCAGAAGCTCCTATGTGTTTCGCATAACAGCATGCATTGTTTAAGGTGCTACAGATGCATACTATATAAAGAGTGAACTGTATCCTATTTATAAGCTCAGCCTCCACCTGTATGGACAGGTGTGTGTACGGAGTTTTGCACCCGTGCACAATCAAACCACAGAAAATAATGAGTTGAGATTATTTATTTTTTTGGTCAAATTCGCTGTTTTTAATTTCTAACGATGTAGTATAGAGAACTAAAGACGCTTTGGCTGTGTGGTAGGGTGGTTGGAAGGTCGCTGGTTCGATTCCCAGGCCCTGCAATCAACATGTCTTTGAGGGCTTGTGTCCTTGGGCAAGATACTTAACCCCTAAATCGCTCTCGATGGCAGTGTCTGAATGTGTGTGAAATGAATGTAAGAGCAGGTGGCACCTTGTATGGAAGCATATGCCTTTGTAGGAATGTGTTTGAAAGGGTGAATGCTGACTTGTATATGTAAAAGCATATGATGGGTAGTAAAGACTGTAAAAGAGCTATATAGCATAAATCCATTTTAGAGATTTAAAGAAAAAAAAAACAGAAAGATAATTTCCAAGCTGTAGTCAGTTGTGTGTGTGTGTGTGTGTGTGTGTGTGTGTGTGTGTGTGTGTGTGTGTGTGTGTGTGTGTGTGTGTGTGTGGTGTGTGTGTGTGTGTGTGTGTGTTTGTAAGGGAAGTAGACAGGCAGTACGAGAGAATGTATACACAGTGATGTACACTTACAGGGGATTTTAACATGCACCCTGTAATAGCTAATTTATATACACAGTGCTGCGCAGGCATCCTATTAGACTACCACGGCGCCTGAGGCTGCAATCACTCTCCCAGAGCTCCCTCTGCCCGGCTCGCTCAGGCACACAGCTCAGCAGCGATTGATTGCTTTGCTGGGATTCAGAAAGCCTTTTCTCTGCCAAACCTGGCTGAGGCTGGCGTGTGCCGACGAGGGCTGAGAGCCAGCCAGAGAGCGAAGGTGTTAACTCCGAGGGGGGAGGGTTGACGGGCAAGCTAAGAAGCCAATCACAGGCTGTTAAAGAGAGCTGGATGGGGGGGAGTGGGCGGGCTCTGGCCTTCCAGCTGAGCAGGCGACTGGGCGGGTGGCTGAGGGAGGGAGGGAGGCTTGCTACATCCTCTCCTCCAGCCTCACCATTCTCCTCTCAGCATCTGTGGAGGAAGGGGACGCTCGCTCCTAGTGTGCTGCTCCCTGCTCGCTGTTGAGACTCAAAAAATAAGGTGTGCGAGAGAGAGAGAGAGTAGGAGATTTTATTTTGCTGTGAGGAGAGAGAAAGACTTGAGACAACAGCCGGCGTCTCCCAAATGGAGTGGAATGGGTTTAAGATGGTAAGGAATAATGCTACCGGCAGCCTGCCACTCTAATCCACCTCACATTGTTTACCATCGTTTCATTTTGGGCAGCTTAGAACAGGTGTTATATATACTATTACCCACTTTCAGCACAGCTTATGCAGTGATACTATTAAACTATTTGTTGTGCAGAATGTTAAGTTCCTTTATACAGCATGGGGTTTCACTGACAAGGTTTGTGGATGAGAGGCGGAGGCAGACAGATAGAGGGACGGAGAGGTGTGGAGGCAGGAGTAGAGGAAAGGAAGGAGGTGGAGGGAGGGAAGGGTTAAATCGGGGGAACAGCACCCATTTTATGATGAAGACAGGGCTGTAGGTGTGTCCCCTTTCCCTGCCTTTGCACCACTCTGAAATATGTACCTGCGTACCTGCAGCACAGATGGAATGCACATTGTTGATGTACCGTAAGGAAACTGGACTTTTGTGGGATTCTGTATTCATGTATGCAAAGTAGTACTTGTTAATGTATGTGCAGTCATGTTATCCGTCATGCTGCTTGGTGCGAGTTTGTGTCCTCCATAAGTTGTTGCCAGAGCTGGAGAAAGACGGAGTAGGTGTGTTGGAGTTACACGCATGCCTGGATTACCATGCTGTGCATGCTCTCAGTTTTTAACCCATGCTTGTACGAGTGTGTGTGAATATTCTCAATGATGTGTTTGGCTGTGTGAGTGGGTGTCGACAATAAACAATATTACCTCCAAGTAATCTGCTTTGCTCAGCTTCCTGAGACTCTATTTAACTTAGCATCCATGTATCCATTCATCCGTCACATGCTGGAGACAGAGTAAGAGGTTCACCTACAAAACAGCGGCCATATTTCTCACTCTTGTTGTTCTCACCTGTCATATAAGACAGAGTTTGATTTAATTGGCTGTACTGCGCCACCACAACAGAGTCAATACTATTTTGCATTCTCTGTCTGTTTTCTAAACCTCACCATACATAAAGTGGACACTTTCCTATTTACACGGAGAACAGTGGACATTATTCATTTGTTCGCAAGTAAATGTTTGCATGCTGGCTGCTTTCCATTGGAGGCAATCAAAATGCTAATTGAAACGAAGGCGACTCCCTTGTTTAGTGATGGGGCGAGTCTCCCTGGACACTCACTGTTAGCAGAGTGTGTGTGCATAGATGGAGAGGCAGAGACATGACTGACAATGGGAGAAAATGGGCGTGAACGCAGAGAAATTGTGTATATAGTTTACACCATATACACAATTTGGGTTTGGGTTAGCGTTATGAGCAGAGGGTGAAAGAAATGGACGTGAAATGAAAATGAAAGCTATGGAGGGAGTGAACAGTCGAATGTTAATAAGAATCGAAGGCATTAGATATGAGATTGCACCATAAAGCCTCCTGATGGGAACCAGTGGGGGACCTGGGCTGGAGACAGGCCATCGAATCACACACCTACACACACACACACACACACACACACACACACACACACACACACACACACACACACACACACACACACACACACACACACACACACACGCACACGCACACACAAACATACAGTGGCTATTTTACCCTCAGGCAGAACACCATGAGCTCCAAGGTTACACATCAATGCTAATAGGGAGGGGTGTGTGAGGAATGTATTAGCTCCAGTGCACTGGCCGAGTGTGTGTGAAGGGATTTAAATGCAACAGAGTGCCATCAAATAAAGATATGTAATTGGATACGTAGGTGATTATAGAAGCAAGGAAAGAATAATAAAAGATGGGGTAGCTGATGAAATTGACGATAAATAAATATGACTTCTATTTGATTTATAGCTTGTGATGTGTTGCATGTCTGTGTTATCGCTCGTTTCTGTGTGTGTGTGTGTGTGTGTGTGTGTGTGAGTGCATGAGAGGGAGGACTGACGTGTGTCCAGATGCCGAGTGACACGGTTAACTAGAGTCTGATTAAACACCGAGCAGAGGGATAGAGTGAGAGGGAGAAAGTGGTTTCGACACAGGAACAATCGGCTCGTAATCTTATTTCCTGTGTTCCTCTGCTCCAGCATCTGCTCCAGCGGGACTCACTGCCAGTGGGTGTGCCATCCTGTATGTAGATAAACAGACTTTTGACTGTTTTCATGGTGCTTAATATACATTTGAAGTATAAGCATGACAGAGGGATTTAAGATGACTCTGGCAATACGAGCAGGGATGTTTGTTGTTGATGAAATTGTTGCTATTTTTTCTTCTTTCTAAGTTTCTATTCTATAAAAACTCAACCCTTCCTCGACCGTTTGCTACCTCTCATGACAGCTTACAATCTAGCATCTTATCCTGACTCATCACAGGGAAACTAAAGCATCCTGTTGTCACTTCCTTCAAGCTTATCTTGTGCTTATTTGCCTTTTCAGAAGAGTTTTCAAAATGCTGCAATTTGATCATTTCTGAGCTGAAGAAAAACAACATCCATTTTGTTGCAGAAGAATAATGCATGTGGTGGGTTTCACATGCTGTGTTTCCTGTCATGTTGTGTAAGGTAAACATTAGCTAAGTGAAGAGTCGTTAGCATTGTTATGCTCTGGGTTGCATGTGTAGAGTCATAGTTGTGTTACTGTACGATCAGCTTAAGGTTAAAGGTTATTACATCCAGTCATTTACTACAGAATAGTGCCAAATGGACACACTGTGTGTTCGTGCTATAGTACATGTATGTAGGTGTTAGTTAACATGTAGGTAAACATACAGTAGATGTTTAGTGTCTCATGTCCAGCCCCAGTCAGGTGCGTCCAGAATAAATGGTCCCTGCATTAACTTTGACCCCTTTGGATAGTTTAGACAAGGCAAGTTTATTTATATAGCACTTTTCAACACAAGGCAATTCAAGGTGCTTTACAAAAAACGAAAGACATTCAGAAAATCCCTTGAAAAAGAGATCAATGATCTCAATGGGATTTATCTGTATAAATAAAGGTTTGAAAATGGCATTTAAAATCAGTCATTAAAAAGAAAAGCTAATAAAATAAACATTAAAAGAGAAAGTACATGGATAAAAGTTACAGTGCAGTCTAAGATGTGAAGAGTTCAATTAAAAGCAGCGACAAAAAGAAAAGTCTTCTTGCTGGATTTAAAAGTAGTCAGAGTTGCAGCGGACCTGCAGGTTTCTGGGAGTTCCAGATGTTTGGAGCATAATAACTGAACGCTGCTTCTCCATGTTTAGTTCTGACTCTGGGGACAGAAAGCTGACCAGTCCCTGAAGACCTGAGAGATCTGGATGCTTCATCATTTAGCAGGAGGTCAGAAATGTATTTTGGGCCTAAACCATAGTAGAGTATTACAGTGAGATCAAGTGTAAATGGAAGATATTTAGTTGGATTTCATTTGTATTTTATGATCTCCAGGCAAACTGGGGAACTTCTGCAAAGCGGTACAGCACTTCACTCTTTGTTTGTGTTGGGCTGCACCATTCATCAAACAGCAGGAAGCACATTAGATCTTAAGAGGCTGAAATACCATTTGGAATGAAGTAGTGTGGAGCTGCAGAGATATCCGGCCCACAAATCGTATTCTACAGATTTAACAAATCATATAAATCATGTTTTATA